AGATACCACCTCACACCTATCAGAATGGCTAAAATAAAACAAACAAACAAACAAACAACAACAAGAAACGGGTGTTGGCCAAGATGCGGAGAAAAAGGAACTCTCATGCGCTGTTGGTGGGAATGCAAACTGGTGCAGCCACTGTGGAAAACAGTAGGGAGGTTCCTCAAAAAATAATTACCATATGATCCAGTAATTCCACTACTGGGTATTTACCCAAAGAATATGAAAACACTAATTCAAAAAGATATATGCACCCCTATGTTTACTGTAGCATTATTTTCAATAGCCAAAATATAGAAGCAACCCAAGTATCCATCAAAAGATGAATGGATAAAGAGGTGGTATATATACACACGGAATATTATTTAGTTATAAAAAAGAATGAAATCTTGCTATTTGCAACAACATGGATAGATCTAAAGGGTATAATGCTAGGTAAAGTAAGTCAGTCAGAGAGAGACAGATACCATATGGTTTCACTCATATGTGGAATTTAAGAAACAGAACAAACAAGCAAACAAAAAAAGAGACAAATGAAAAGCTGGCTGTTGGGGTGCCTGGGTGGCTCAGTCATTAAGCGTCTGCTTTCGGCTCAGGTAATGATCCCAGGGTCCTGGGATCGAGCCCCGCATCGAGCCCCGCATCGGGCTCCCTGCTCCACAGGAAGCCTGCTTCTCCCGCTCCAACTCTCCCTGCTTGTGTTCCCTCTCACACTGTGTCTCTCTCTGTCAAATAAATAAATAAAATCTTTAAAAAAAGAAAGAAAGAAAGAAAGCTGACTCTTAAATATAGAGAACAAACTGGTAGTTACCAGATGGGAGGTGGGTGGGGGGATGGGTGAAATAGGCAAAAGGTATTAAGAGTATACTTACGTCGATGAGCACTGAGTAATGTATAGAATTGTTGAATCACTATATTGCATATCTGAAACTAATATAATACTGTACACTAATTATACTGGAATTTTAAAAAAATGAACAGAGGATCTGTATGGACATTTTTTCAAAGAAGATATATATATATGGCCAATAGGTGCATGAAAAGGTGCTCAACATCACTCACCATCAGGGAAATGCAAATCAAAATCACAATGAGATATCAAAAAGACAAGAAATGACAAGTGTTGATGAGAAAAGGGAGCCTTTGTGCACTACTGTTGGGGATGCAAACTGGTGCAGCCACTGTGGAAAATGGTACGGAGTTTTCCTCAAAAATAGAACTACCGTATGATTCAGCAATCCCACTTCTGGTTATTTATCTGAAGGAAACAAAATCACTATCTTAAAAAGATATCTGCATCCCCATGTTCATGAGAGTATTATTTACAGTAGCCAAGACATGGAAACAACCTAAGTGTCTATCAACAAATAGAAAATGGGGTATGTATATATACACACAGAATGGAATATTATTCAGCCATAAAAAGGAAGTCCTTACATTTTCAATCCTTAAGGGCATTATACTAAGTGAAATAAGTCAGAGAAAGACAAATAATATATGATCTTACCTATATGTAAAATCTAAAAAACCAAAGTCAGAAACAAAAAACAGATTGGTGGTGGCCAAAGGCAGGGGTATATGGGGGTGGGAAAAATGGGTCAAGGTGATCAAGAGGTACAAAATTCCAGTTATAAAATGTAAGTCCTGGGAATGTAATGTTGAGCATGGTGACTACAGTTAACAATACAGTGCTATATATTTGAAAGTTACTAAAAGAGTAAATCTTAAGAGTTCTCATCTCAAGAAAAAAAATTTTGTAATTATGTGTGGTGATGGATGTTAACTAAACTTGTGATAATCATTTCACAATGTAAACAAACATCAAATTATTATGTTGTACACCCAACACTACTGCAATGTTATGTGTCAATTTTATCTGAATATAAATAAATACATAAGTAAAGAAATAAAACTTCAATCAAGCCATTTGTATTGCCTAGCATGCTTCCCCACCCCACCTTAAGGTACAATCTGACAGTAGATAATTAATTACGAATTTTTAGCTTACTAAGGCGAGACCAAGATATAAGGAAATGACACAACTCTATTTTTTTCAACAAAATCTATCCTGTCTTCATCTGCCTGTCCTTTTCCCTCCCAGGTTTAAGAAATTTGAAGATTCATAGAATTATGTGTTTATAGGAAGTTCTAAAACCAACAGCGGTTTAATCGCTTAAAACCAATTTACTGAGGCCAGTAAACTTACTGAGAGGTCAAGGAAGCCACAAAGAAGAAAACTGAAGAAGGCTAGAAGTGGTTGCTGATGTTAATGATGTTCCTCCCACTTGAGAAGGCACAGCCTTTGTTAGGCTTAGGTTCACATCTCAGCCCTGTGGTAGCCACGGCTGTACACAGCTCAGATTTCCCTTCAAGGAAAGAATTTGCCATTCAGCTGTGAGGGGGGCACTTACCTGAAAACTTCCAGCTGCAGCACCTTTGGGAGCTGCTGTAGCATTTACCCTGAGATCACCGCTCCCCAGGCGGCCCCCAGCCACCACCTGGGCCCAGCAGTTATGAGGATCTGGCCATTTCTGCCCAACCTGGGGTTCCTTTCCAGGCAATCTTTGTGCTGGAGACTGCTCAGAGGTGCACTGCAGGCTGAATCAGCTCCTAGTCCATCCTCCTTCCTTCACCCTTTCCTTTCATGGGTGTCAGACTCGCACTGTGGTCTGAAGGCTTTCTCTGCCTGATCCTGCTTGCTCTCCCCTTTGTCTTTCCAGGTGTTATGTCCAATAAATCTCGTGTACTTCTAGAACTCCATCCTGGCATCTGGTTCCCAGAGAAGCTACCCCAAATCACATTTTGTTTCCTTATCTCTGAAAGTGAAGATACTATATCTGTAATTAGATTTGTAAGGATTAAATAACATCTATACTTAGATCCTGGTATATAGAATGCAGTTGAAGATAAAATGGAGCAGGTGGATGGGGGAGGGTGCAGAAAAACTGTCTGTACCTTCTACAATGGTTCTAAGTTCTAGTCCCATGTCCTGCTTTATAGCACATTATTCTGGGTACTGGAGAGAGAAAACCTGATGAGCTTCCAAATACTAGAGGGAGATATGGGGGAAGATAAATGCTCAATGGGGACTGGCCATAGAACTATTGTGGTTGGGGTCACACCAATGTCGTAGATATTCCCAGAGGATTTTTCCTAGGAAATGGAAAACCATATTTAGGCCACTTTCAAAATGACATTTTCAATTGGCACCAATGACGCACCATCATGAAACACCCCGCCTCATAGTCCTGGTGGTTGTTTTGATGCTAAAGGAGAACAGACTGGATTGAGTCAGCATCTATCTTGAATATTTCAAAACCAGGTACTGATATCAAGGAATGTGGAGGGTTCTCTTATGTCTCTTTAAAGTTACAGCACCTAGCTTGATATCTTGCGTGAAATAGGTGCTCAGTAGGGGTTATCTGATTTAACAGCAGAAAATCATTGCATAATTGAATAGATATAGTCTAAGCACTGTGCAGACACATGGAAGACATTAAGAACTATAACCTCCATACTAGTACATGAGGGAACAATAAGGTTATTGCTAAGAAGAAACAAAGATAAAACACAATAGAACAAGAATACATTCTTGGGGACAATGAAAACCCAAAAAGTATAGCCTTGGTGTTTTGTTCTATAATGAACTTGTCTGCACAAGAAAAAAGGTATGAGTAATCCACAGGAAAATGAAGAGAAGAAAAACCCGGACATTATTAACAAGCCTCATTTTACTCCCCCAGCATAGGTAGGTGGCTTCCTGGCCCCCCCAAGAAGAGTAGAATACCACATCTTTCATGCTCCCAAGCTGTTTACTTCCTTAGCCGCACATACCAGGGGCTCACTCCTGAGTGGTTTTGGTATAACAAGCATAGTCTAAAGAAGTGTCAGAGTAACTCGTCTTAGAAAAGAACCACTTATTCGGTAAAGAAGAGCTGCGCAAGTAGCTCATTTCATCTTAATTAGCCCAAGATGATGTTTCTGAAGCGCTCTGCTTTCTCATCAACACTTTTTCCTGTTGCAAGGAAGGAAGACTTTGGCATCTCTAACAGCAACTCAGCCTCAGGGGCCAGAATCCAGACGGGCAGATCCAAAGTTGCTGTGAAAGTGGGTGGTGCGGGGAATGAATTTGCCTTTTCACTGGCACGAGCTAGATCACGCAGCGGGAGAGGGCTAGAAAGTGACCTCTGGCGTCCATGGTCAACAACTGGCACGTGCGCCCCTACTCTGTGCCAGGAAGATGCCAGGCCCCCGAGTGGCGCATGACACGGTGCCTCTGCTCTCAGGGACTCTTATCTATGGTCCCCTCCAGTTGAAGAAAGGGAAAGACAGGTTGGAAAATGAAAATGAAAGGGAAGGATTATGTTGGGGCTTCAGAAATGCCTTAATTCCTGGTAAGAAGTCTTCCCGCTTGCTTCTTCGTTACTTGCTGGAGACCAACGTTAGTCCACAGGAAAAGGAGCTGAGAGCTCGGGAGGCCCGTCATTAACAGTTGCTGCCTTCGCATCACCTGGCACTGGGACCAGATAGAGTCCTCGGGGGGCCTGGAGGGTTGGTGCCGCCAGAGACTGGGAGTGAGGATGTCCCCTGCTCCAGTGTCGCCAGGGTCCCATGTCACCTGCCGGCCGAGGAGCTGCCCCAACTCTCTGTCAGCCCCTTCATTTACACATTGCTCTCACTCAACGTCTCACAGGAAGGCATCTTTTCGGCAAGTGCTGTAGACGTTATGTGTGAAAAAAAAATCAGCACCATATAAATAGCTTTTCACTTCTAATTGCGACGTGCCGCTTGCATTTTGCTTCCTGCGAGCTCTGGAAAGGGACCGACCCACACCACTAATGGCACAGGAGCCCCGGGACTGTCAGTCAGCGTCTGCCGCTGGGAGAGGGCAAAGATGGAGAGAGCGCGGCAGGACACGCGCAAGGCCATTTCAGGCTTGAAGGAGCACGTTTCTCCAGCGCCCCGACAGCCAGCAGTTTCCTGGAGTACCTGATCGCTCCGCTCTTGGACGCATCGCTCCAGCCTGCGGGCTCCCTTCCTGGTCTCCGAGCTGCGACGGGTTTCGTCCTCCAGTTCACCTTCCAGTTCGTGGACCTGCAACCAAACCCTGACCTCAGACCATAGGCTGGCAGCCAGCAAGCCAGAGTGACATCACATTGGCCGACTGGCACGGTCCTTTGCAATAGAGCAAAGTCATCTGGAAAGCTGCATCTACTCTTTTTTTTTTTTTTCATTTTATTATGTTATGTTAGTCACCATACATTACATCATTAGGTTTTGATGTAGTGTTCCATGATTCATTGCGTATAACACCCAGTGCTCCATTCAATACGTGCCCTCCTTAATACCCATCACCAGGCTAACCCATCCCTCCACCCCCCCTCTCCCCGAGTGGGAGGGATGCATCCACTCTTTCTGGCCGTGGTTAAACAGGGCAGCCTCCCTGGGAACGCTGCCTCACCAAAAGCGAGTGGATTGAATTCCGTGGGTTTGTAAAAGACCTGTTTACACTCTGAAGGCTGGGAGGGGCTCGTCCACGTTCGACAAGTTGGGCTCATCCATGCAGAAGTGACAAGTTTCCTGTGAGGTCACAAAATTACACACATACACGTGTGTAGGAACGTAGGTGAGCATACAGAGAATAAGCTAGATAGAGCCCACTTTAAGGATCCAGCCACTGTACTATGTGATCTTAAGCTTCTTTCTCCCCGTTCAGCTCTGATCTCTGAAATCTGACCTTGAGGCTATGGGGCCTAAAGGGCAGGCGCTGGCCGACAGCCCTGTTTTGTGGGAGAGCTGTATAGACTAACAATCTGCCTGCAGCCTGACGGAGTCCTATAAGCAAAGTCAACAGTCATTCAACAGATATTTTATGCTTGCCACCCACCAGACCCCAAGGCTAGGGATACAGCAGTGAACAGAACAAAAATCTCTCCCCTGTATGAGCATACATTTTAATGAGGGGAACACACAAAGCAAAATATAGAGTATGTTCGGTGGTGAGAAGTGATTTGGAGAAATAAAACGGAAAGAGGGGTAGAGAGTCAGGAGAGGAAGGGTGTTGGCTCCTCTTTGTCTTCCCCTCAGTGTCCATGGCTCTCTCCCTGCCTTCTTCTTGACACAAAAGCCACCTTCTCAACAGGACGTTCCTGACTACCCTTTTAAAATTGCACAGTCTAATGCCCTGAGGCATGAAATTGCCTGGTATGTCTGACCCCATCTCTCACTCCCCGCCTCCCTCCCTCCCTCCACTTCAGACACACTGTCCTTGCTCGTCCTCAGGGAGGGCAAGTCGGCAGGTGTGCATGTTCTTTGTAGGTGAAGCCCACTAAAATAATCTTCTAATCCCCTGTCATACAGGAACCTAATACATAGTGCTATTGGATGAGACATGAGACAAAGAGGCCCCCTTTAAGATGAGGTTTTTCTCGCGTGTGTGTATTTTTAAGCTGATTAACACTCCTCTGGGAAAATCATTTTATTACATCAAATCCTAGACATCATATAATTTCACCTGTAAATATTTCGTTATGTAATCCTAACAGATGATAGTCTTATGATTATGTTTTTAAGAAAATTAATCATAATTCCTTAGTATCAGCCGATATTGGGAGCTCATTGCTACTGAGTTAGCACTGGTTCTATGCCTTAATGGTGGAGAAACAGCAACTGGAAACAAAATTAAATCCTGCAATGTTAAATTTGAATTGGAAATACCAGTATCATTCCTGTATTTTTTTATTAGGGAAAAGAGACATATTCTAAGTTCTTTAATCTTATACCTATATGTTTTTTCTCATACTAAAAGATCTTGGTTCTTACACAATAAAGATTAAATAATTATTGGGCGCCTGTGTGGCTCAGTTGGTTGAGCGACTGCCTTCGGCTCAGGTCATGATCCTGGAGTCCCGGGATCGAGTCCCGCATCGGGCTCCCTGCTCGGCGGGGAGTCTGCTTCTCCCTCTGACCCTCCTCCCTCTCATGCTGTCTCTCATTCTCTCTGTCTCAAATAAATAAATAAAATCTTTTTAAAAAAAAGATTAAATAATTATTTGTTAGAGAATTATATTGGTCTTATTGATAGTAGTAATGATAAGATATTGTTATTTGAAACTGCAAGTACGGTTTGCTTTATTGCTGATTTTTTTTTTCTTTTGTCCTTAGATGTATTCCATGAGGGACATACAAAGCACTATGTTTAAAAGTCACTGGGAATAATTCTTCTGTGTGTTTTATGTCCCCCAACTTGATACACAGTTAGCTTCACTTGTTTCCATTTGTGTTAACATTTTAGGGATTGATTTGTTTTATTCTGCTCGTTGATTTAAATTTGTTTTTTAATTATGAAGCATGTAAAAGCATGTAAATGTTTTATGTGATTTTGCAATCAAAACATTGGAATGAGGTTCATTCAGAAGGTCTCAGTTTCATCTCTGTGTTCTCCTCCTATGGGTAGCTAATGTCTAATCCTGTCACCCCTTCTTTTTGAAAACACAATCAAATGTGTATGTGCACCTGTCTTCTAGATTTCCCCTGCTCTTGCACAAAAGCTTGTAGATTCTACCTGTTGCCTGTGCCTTTTATCATCATTGTACCTCTAGATGGGATCTCCAGAACCTACCACAGAGCTCTTCCTCATTCCTTTTCAATCAGCATGATTATCTGGAGGTACCATGGATGGGCACTGGAATTCTACTGTATGGATATACCATAAATGTGCAAAAGCAATACTGTATTTTTCAGGGGCCCTTCTGAACCGTCAAGTCCCAAATATTCTCCTTATCCTTCTAGCATTTGTCACTCAACTTGTACATAGTCATTGAAATCGATTCAGTAGTTTTAAATATCCTATTTTTAAGAGAGATCTTCCTATTTGTTGTTAAGCTCCCTGAAGGCAGGTGCTACATCATTGCTGTCAGTCCTTCCTATATCTTCACTAAGCATTTCTTGATCCTTGTTTAGCTGTTTCCCTCCCACTTGCCCTGGCAGATAAAAAATGGGCCTTCTCTGCAGAGAAATAACAGGAACAAAGGCACAGAAGCAATACTGTGCAGGTGTTCCTGGAAGTAGCAGGTAACCCTGGCTCTGGGGAGCCTGGAGTTGGTGCGGCTGAACAGGAGAAGATGCATTCTCACCGAGCAGGAAGAGGGAGGGCAGAGTTAATCCAGTCCAAGAAAAGTCTTGGTTGATGGTCCAAGGTCAAGCAAGAATGAATGAATATATTGAGATCTGACACTCTCAGTGATCTAGAAGTGCTAAAAGCAGAAGTGATGAGATAGATAGGGAACATTTGGAGTGATATTCCAGGACAATAAGGTCTTGAATTGAGAGTCATCATGACCCCATGCTGACCCATGCAAACACCTACCCTAGATTCTAGTTTCTGGATTTGCTTTCTATTCCCCATCATGGCAGTCTGTTCAGCTTCATCCAGACTTTTTTGTAAGTCTTTAATTGTCTGCTCCATATTCTTTCTCATCCTCTCCAAGTGGGCATTGGTGTCTTGCTCCTTCTTCAGATCTTCTGATATGTTTGCTGCCTAAAACAGAAAGAAAAGAGCTGATACCATACGATCCAGCAATTGCACTACTGGGTATTTACCCCAAAGATATAAATGTAGGGATCTGAAGGGGTACGTGCACCCCGATGTTTATAGCAGCAATGTCCACAATAGCCAAACTGTGGAAAGA